CACCGGGCCCCCCCCCGGGGCCCCTCTGGGCCCCATCGGACCCCATCGGAGCCCCACCTGAGCCCCATCCGAGCCCCATCCAAGCCCATCCAAGCCCCATCCGAGCCCCATCTGAGCCCATCCGAGCCCCATCCCAGCCCATCCAAGCCACCAGCGATGCTCCACGGCTGGCACCCACGGGCTCACCTGGGACAGGGTGATCTGTCCCCTCATCGCTTTGGCATAAGGACTGGCAGAGCCGCCAGCAAACAGGACCTTTCCCAAAAAATTCCTGCCAGGCAAAGGAGAAGTCAGCCAGGGGGGGAACCCCGATACCGGGGGGGTGTTGGGGTGCGCTACGGGGTTGGGGATGCTCCGTGCTGGGGGTACGGAGCTCCCACCGCTCCCTCCTCCATCATCAGCCGGGACCGGAGCATCATTTCACTACCGGACCGGGAGATCGCTGCCCATTTATTTCTGCTGGCAGCTCAATTACTTCGCCCCGCCGATAAGACAAGCAGGGAGTTTTGCCAGGACCAAAATGCAAAGAGCAAGGTATTTTGTAAGCCGGAGCTCAGGGAAAACGATTCACCCCTATCACAAGATCACGAAAAGGCGGCAATAAAACAAGATTCCAGCGACTGGCTTCAGGACAAAGCTCTCCTCCGAGTCGATAAAAACGCAGCTCGGTTAAAAATAAAGCAGCTTTACCTGTTCCAGCGGGATTGCTGTCATTTTTTTTTTATATAAAGCGAAGCAAAAAAATGTTTGATGGCCTGATAATCTGGGAATTTATTGCTCCATCTGCTCCACGTCCTCGAGCATGTGGTTATTTAGTATTTTAGCCTTTTTTTAACTCCCAGCTTTTTTTTTTTTAACACCCACGCGCTGCCGGGAAATCCTGATGAACAGACAGAACCTGTTCGACTCCCACTTGGGAGCTTTGGGGATCACTGATCCCCAAACACCCCGTATTAAATGGGGTTCACCGCGACTCGACAGGCTGTTTGGGACCCGCGCGGGGGGGTCCAGTGCTTTGGGTTTCGTCTGGTTTGTGCACTGAGTTGTGTCCGGTCTCAGCGCGGAGGCAGAACAGGCTTAATTAATTCTCCTGCTTGATTAATTATTAGTTGCTCTTCTTACCACTTCTGCCAGCGTCCCCTGTGGTAATTCTGACTTTTCGGGGGTCAGTTTTAACCGCTGATCTGCACCCCACATCCAGGAATGACACCCCCCCGAGCCTGCACCGCATACCCAGGACAGGACCCCCCCCG